GTATATGTATATGTATATGTACTTATCTATCTATCTATCTATCTATCTATCTATCTGTGTGTGTAAACATATATCGATATCGTCCTGCGCACCTGCGCGCCGCAGATTCCACGGCCCGACATGCAGGCAGAACGCCCCAACGAAATCGTCGGGTTGAACGGAACAAAGCCCTGGCAAACCTGCTAGTCGCGAACCGGGCAGCCACAGGGGTAAAACGTGATATCACAAGGTAACTATCACGAGGATACCCAGGTGGGCCATCAGTGTCATTGTGTGAGTATAGTATGCTTATGTTTATGTTGCCCAGCCAGTGTTTGTGCCAGTGCATGCATTCGGTCAACAGCACGGAGATAAGCGGAACACAAAGAGTCGGCAAGGTTTCTGTCAGCAGCCCTGCCATGCAGTCTGCTGGTCATGATGCGGAGGTACGCACACCACCGGATTCTCCATATCTGGTAGTGTCGCCGAATGTGCTGATTGCTGGATTGCAACCTGGCAAGTGCAGCAATTTGGGTTGTTCGAGGTTGTCTGCGAGACCCTTAAGCCTTGACACATAAAGCAACAATTATTCAGCATTCGTCGAAAACTAAGGCGGTACAGGATGCGGGTTTCGGCCACTGCGGCATGTGTTGGAGTTTAGAAGCAGTTTTCTCGGGTGGCTTCGTCTTGTCTGGCAGGTGCTGGACAAGCTCATGCTGTCTCAGGGCATTGAGGCGTGTTTCTTGTTTTTTGCGGTCTCTGTGGCCCAGTGCGAGGGGCTGCGCTGCCTCAGGACTACTTGGGCTTTGCGGAGTTCACGTTTCTTTGCGCAGGCTTGCGGGCTTCATTGCAAGACCTGTCGACCTGTCCCGACTGGGTCCTCGCACTTCTTCATTGCCTGCTTCATCTGCTGCTGTCCAGATCCGTAAGTTGGGCGGTTGGGCCAATTTCACGGCAAGCCGCTGCCGAACTCATCGGACTCGAGACTCTTTTTCCTTTCGCAGGCCGGCCACCATCAGGTGGTGAGCTCATCGCCCGGAGCCCGACAGAAGTTAGGCTTTTCGGCAGGAGCAATGACACAGCTGTCCGAGGTCTCCAACATGTCGGGCACTGCGCTGCAGACAGTGCTAAGCTCAATTGTGCCGACATGCATCAAGTGTCGACATGATGACTTTGAAATTGCAGCGGGAGCAGTCGTGTGGTGAAGGAGTTCGTCTTCAGCATGGAAGGGTTCGGAAGCGAGGATTTGCCTTTGTCCTTGCCTCAGTGCTCTGTCTTGCTCCACTGGCAGGGCAATTCCATGGCAATTCTTCCAGGACGTACCGCTTTTGCTACATCCAGGACTACGACATGCCTTTCGTAAGCGGCTTAGCGACCCAGCAACGGCACACAGCTCAGGGGAAGTGCCAGGGCCAGCATTTCAGGGATCAGAATCGGAAATTCCAGAAGCGGCTCTCGGAAGACATCTTCTACAGACTGCTCAGTTTCGATGGAGCGAAGGCTGAAGCTGTTGAGCTCAACATCGCGTACACGGAGCAGAACTTCATCAAGACGAGGTCAGCCGCTGCAATGGACCTGCAGTTCTGTCATGGTTTCACCCCTATCCCACGGTATGGGATCGGCAGGCTGCCGCAGGGTCTGGTCGGGAGTCAAAACCTTCTGAGAGTTGCCGGGGGCCAAGCAAAGACAAGACCAACAAACTCAGTAACTGGGTGAAGTACACCAGAGCACTGCAGCTTGCTCGACCCACAACTGTCAACTGCTGCAGGTTGGCATCGTCAGAAGTTCACGGGGAGCGACAGCGCCACACTCTCAGGAAGTCATTCACGTCAACTTCGCTCTTTCCGCTTCACTAGATAATTCCACAAGGCCGCCATAGATTGCCAGTGACGCATCACCATGCCCCGGTCGTTTGCGAACGTGGGCCAAGGCATGCCAGTGTCGAGGTCTCCGTGTCTCCCCCTGGGCAGCAGGCCATCACCGACATTGTCGACCAGGCACCATTTCAGATGAGATCAGGTAGTCGATCCAATCTGTCTGGGTGTGCCGGTTGAGGTGCCACTGGTCGATCCGGAGACTGCCATCTTCTTCACCACGTTGTTCCTAGTTTGCACAATTTTCACAATGGGAGTATAACGCTCAAGCTGATACCGGCACAAGTGCAAGTGCTGTGACCGCTTGTACTTGCACCACGCCGGTATCCAACTGCAGCCGCCCCCTGCTGTTTTGGCATGGAAGTCATAGCAGACACGAAGCCTAGCATGCTTCTGGGGACGTGTTGCCGTGAATTGCGATGTTGGGAACGTGTGACTTGGATCAGGTTGGCAGACACGGAGGCCATGAGAAAGGGATCTGCCAACTATCTTTGCAAAGATTGGTCTTTTCAGGCAGCTTCCGAGGCGGAGGTCAGCAATGCTCTGCAGGCGCCAGCTTGCTCGAGCGGGACAGCTTGCAAACAAACTGATACTTGGAGGTCACCCGGGACAAGATGTTCGTGGAGCGCTCGGCTTTGGCGACCATGGTCCTTACGGGTTATGGGGTGAAACATTGGAATGCTTGTGGCACAGGTCACAAACCGAACAATTGCTTCCACTCCAGAGGCAGGCACCCAACAGCAACTCGCCACTTGCGGGCTCGCGGCTGTCCTTCACGACTTCGCGACAACCCCATTTTTCGGCTTGCACATGGCCTTGTATATGCAGCAGCTCGTGGGACCAAGCCTGACGTGTCACAGTACAGAAGGCGCTGTTGATAACCGAGTAAGTGCAAGCGCGAGTCTTCACTTGTGTAAGTGTAGGTCGAGGTTGAGCCCGCTCGCCGAGTGAAGACGCTGTCTGTCCGCAGGAATCCACTTCCAATGTCATTGCAGGCAGACACAGGGATGGACGCAGTGCTGCCGCGTTCTGCGAAGGATGTGCGAGTGACACGGTGACATGGGAAGAGGACGACCTGCAGTAAAGTCACGAGCCGACCCGACTGCCAAGAGGGCCGAGCGCGAAAGGCAGGCCACCCCTTGGGAAGATGCCGAATCGATCTGCAACTTCGCAGCCGAAAAATGGACTGGTCGAGAGTTCTTAAATGCAGATGATGCGGGTGACCTCAAAGGGATCTTCGGTCATTGCATCGTAGCGGCTGCCAACCGGATTTGGTGTCTTGGTGGATGTCGAGAGACCAGGCTGTCAAGAAAGATGTCCGTCCTGGAGCTCCAGCTTGAGAGCGGGACCTGGGTGGATCGATTGAACTTGCTTCCTGACGATTCCGTGCCATGCTGCAGATGGGGGCATGCAAGCTGCTTGGTCCCCAGCAGACCTGCGCCCGGTCCGGCCGAGCAATTTCTTTGGCTGGCCGGCGGCTTCAACAGCCACTGCAACCTGAACGATGTTTGGCGTTTCTGCCCAACTGACGGAAGATTCGCTGGAGTAGCGTCGGAAGTGCACAGCCTTCCCTACCGCGCGGCCTATCATTCCATGGTGTGTGACGACGTGGCGAAGCGGCTCTTGGCGTTCGGTGGCCAGTGCTGTGTGGGAGGACCTTATCACTTCTTCGACCGTGTCCTGTCTCAGTCGTGCTTAGATGGCCGTTTCTGTTTTACAGTCGTTGTGATACGAGCTCTATAGAGGTTTGGTTGCCGAGGTGTGGTCATGCATCAGCTATGCCGCCCCATGTCTGGTTGGCAGGCACGAAATAGTAATGTGAAGATCCTCGCCTGGCTGTGCCTACTAGTTGTGAGTGTGGAAATGTAATGCGAGGGAACGGAAAGTGTTCTCTTGTCCACCGCCCATACTTGTAGCAGCAATCACAGCTCCTGAGTTGAAATGTTGAACCCTAGGACATGATCTGATGAACTCTGGAAAGTCTCTGGCCAGGGATTGGATGAGAACCTCTTAAGGTATGTCTGCACTCCAGTCCACGGTTCGGATTGAGGAGGTTCGGTTGGATGTTCGTGGAATTCGGGCTGCGAGGTTAAGTGCGTGAGTGGTTGGGGTCTGGCTGCAGGATTGGGCTTCTTCACGGTCTACAGTCTCAGTGTCCTATGCAGGCAGTTCGGGTTGAAGGACCCAGCCCGGCAGCACGAGCTCAGCACGCGGCAGTTCCAGCCACAGACAAGACACAATGCGCAGGCGTTTTGCTGCACTGCAAAGTCGTGCCGACACTGAGGCAATGACTACGTCTGGGCTCATGGTCATTTATGGTGGCGGAAATGCGACACGAACCTTTCGAGACGTGAGCTGACTAGACTAGATCAAGTTCTCACGCGGATCCGCTGTGACATAGTGGACCCTCAGGGGGCCGAATTCGAAGCCAGGTCTGGACATTGCATCTCAGCCCGGCTTACTGGTCCGAGGCTGGCACAAGGGCACGAGCCTCGGAAGACCCGAACTTGTCATGCCAGGTCAAGATCTTCGGCCGCATTCGGCCCTGGATATCGCTACAATTGAAGTACCAAGATTTTAACGTCGCACCTGGCCTGCTTCTTCCTGCCTGCCATGCCGGTTGCATCGCACGATGTCGCATGACATGATCTGTAAGCCGCAGCCACAGCACAGACAGCATCGTCTCAACCATGCGAAGTGCATCCTGAACAGAGGGAACTTGGCATGGTTTAGAGGATCGAGGGCACGACAAGTATCGGGCTGCCCGTATCAGCTGTTACGTTGCAATGCAGCAGCTACCCCGCCAGCCTCCAGAATCCTTTGCTTCCGCGGCTTGCCCTGCAGAGTACATTGATGACACACTCTCTCTCGGGAAGGAACAGGAACTCGAACTGCCTACGGATCTGACAGGTGGTGGTTGAACTGGTAGCTGCCCACCGCCGAGAACTGCAGGCCCAACCTGCCCAACTCCTGTAAATTGCCCCAGGTGTGTGACAACAGACCTTCGCAGATCTTGCCAATATTTTGCAATGCAGCAGTTTGGAAGGCAGTGCGGGAGCGTTTCGACACGAAAGTTGCCCCTGTGCGAACTCTGCGTGAGGCACTGTTGGGCAGGGCGGCCCTAGCCAGCGAAGTGACAGCGATCCGCACTGAGGAATCTGAGCTGCAGAGTTGCGGCGAAGTGGCAGAAGAACTGGCGCCTGATGAGATAAATCTGTTCGCAGCCATGGGGCAGAAGCTTGGCCATACCACTTCAACCGTGCAGTCTAGTGAGTCTAGTGCCTGATGGGCCTAATGGCTTGCTAAGTTAGCGGCTGGTACAAGGCACGAAGACAGGTAGCAGCTAGAAGCGGCAGACATCAGTGATAGTTTCGAGCAACACGAGCTCCCCGCACCTTGTTGACTTTTGCTGAGCTGTGAAGAGGTGTTCACCGGCACCGGCTGCCCTGGACCAGTCTCCACCAACCGAGTCCTGGGGCCGCTGCCCTTGCTCAGCACTTGCTTCGAAAGCATCGCTGTGTCTGCAGCCATCAGATGTCACCAGCCTTTTCCTGACCGAAGCAAGGACCCCGATCAGAAGCCCCGCCGCTTCATCTTCCAGCTTGGGGCGATTCGGTCAAGGCGGCAGTGCCTGAGAACACAAGACAAACAGAGGATTAAGATGCTCCCCAGACGCAAGAGACATGCGGTCTTGGTCTGAGGGTTTCGGCTCGATTCCACAGCGGCCAAGAATCTTTCTTTGCTCTACATGCTCTACGGTCTGCGTTTTCCATGTAGTTTCATTTTGCAGGCATGCTGCTGTAAGTCCTCCCCCCGTGTTCTAGGCTAAAGAAAGGCTCAAGGCCGTTCCACTATTTCTCTAGGGTTCTCGAGTTGAGAATTGAAAAAGGTGGCGCTGGCAGTGTCGACGCTTGCCGGAGGGAGAGCATGTGTCGGTAGGCAATCTCTTTTGGAGGGAGCCGACGGAGCCGTTGGCTGACCTGGCGGCGCCAGGAGAAGTGCCGGCTACGTCGTGTCGCGTGTATGTAGCAAAGCAGCATCTCAGGCTCGAGCTGAGCCTCAGCATTTGCAGAACATAAGTGCGACATGCCCCGACGAGTCTGAACATGCAGACTTGGTGTGCCCGAGGTGCTGCCTGCAGCATGCCTGCAACCTGTTGAGAGGCTTCTGGTCTGCGTTTTGCCTTGTCAAGTCTTGCATGATAAAGCAATCTGGATCCATAGCCTCGTCATGGTGTGAGCGTGCCTTGGTGCAGGCTTGCGGTGTTGTCTGCGTTTGTGTCTGACAGTACCGGAAGAGTCTCTTACTGAGGTCTGCATGCCATGGGAAGGTGGTTAGTTCATCAGAGCGGCAGGACTAAAGACCCGAGGCAGTGACCGTGCTTGGGGTCTCTGCAAAGCTGTGCCAGGAGAACCGGCTGGCAAGAATGAAGGAGGCTCGAGAGTTGCCCAGCATTCCTCTTTGTCACCTGCCTACCTGTAGCCTTGGCCATTGCTGCAGGCCCTCGCTCAGCATCATCAAGTAAACCAGGCGGCCAGTGTCGGAAGGAGCTTCTCGTTTGCAGATGCAGCACGATGCAGCGCAGCCCCATGCGTTCGTCGTTCGTCCTGCACCAAACTGGTCTGAGCGACAGGAAGCAGCGCTTTGCGTTGACCCAGTCCTTCAAGGTGGATTGCTCGGACGGCGTAAGCGTGAAGTGCATCGTGCAGCCCGGGGCTTAGCTCAGCTTGGGTTTTGGTGCCCCTCCTTTCCCGAAACGACATCAACGAGCTTAGGCATCCGATGTTTGACACGGTCGCGGCAGAGACTTGTCTGTCATGCTTGGGTAGAGCGTGTGAGCATGTGGGGTTCCTCCTTTAATGGTTTATATAGATGCTGAGGTCATGATTATTGTGAACTCTATTCTGATGGGATGGGAGACGGAGGCATTGACGACCAATATTTCGACTCCCGGATTTGATGGTTTTCTCAATCTTGCCAAGCCCTGACTCGCTTGCACATGTTTGCACATGGACAGGGAAATTCATCCGTGAGCCTAAGCTGACCCAAATGCGGCGTATTTGCTGAGCACAAAGGATGCCGGAATCGCTCGAAATCATGATGATTCTCTGTATCCTGGCTCCAATTTCATCTGTTTCACAAGGAATGGTCGCTCCATCTTGCAAGCCTTTGCCAGCCATGCAGCCAAGGCAATGTTTATTTTTGCTTGGTCGTGGTCCAAGCTTCCTACTGCATGCCACTCTTTGCGGTGTAGCTCGAGCAGAGGAAATTCTGATGCGTCTCGCCGGGCTACGCACCGGTTTCTTTGTGGAAGAAAGCAGGACGCAGAATCGATAGTCTGACTTGATGCACACCTAAGCCGTACGTAGATCAAATGTGGTTTGTCCTGGCGAGGAATTGGAACTTATTTGATCTGGGCCTTGTCTTGCTGTGCCCTGTCGAAACATTAAATGTGCTTGAATGCTGGATGCACTCTGGGAGTCCGGAGTTTCTCAAGCATGCTATTTTCTGATGGGCAACTTCAAGGTCCCTGGTAGATACCTTTATTTTATATTAGCAGGATGGGCTCAGCGCCACCAATGCTGCTTGCTCCGAAGTCATGTCGGACGGTGCTCAGTAATTTGACGGTCACGACAAGGCAGCCTCAGTGAAGCGCTCAGGTTGTGGCAGGAGCACCTCGGCGCGGAGTGGCATCTGATGGCACAGCCTTATAAGCGTTAAACTTCTACGCGGCAGTTCACTACGAATCAGTTCGTGCAAGTCGGGCATCAAGGACTAAGTCGGAGCAACGGTGGACTTGAAACACTTGACATCCGAATACTCCTGGATAGTTTGCTGTTGTGCACATCTTGTTTTTGTCAAGTATGCTCTTGACCGCTTAAGGTGAAGACGTTGAAGATGCTCAGAATAATACGGGTGTTTCGAGTCTTTCGCTTCTCATCTGCTCTTTCGCGAGTCGCTCTCATGAGCCCTGGCTGCCAAAGCCCCGGTGGCGTGCACATGCCAAGCAACAGCGACAGGGTTTGAAACGGATCGTGCATGAGGATCGTGGACTCGATGAAATCACTTCTTTGGGCGCTGATTATGTTGGTTCTTGGGCAGAATATCGCACCTGTCGGCCTTTCTTACGTGGCCGCAATGGCTTGAGCCAGAAACCAGGCGTTGAGTTACCGATCATGGCTCAAAGGCGATCGTCGTGTACGTTTTCGCAATCAGCCTGACGACCAATGCAGCAGATTGGATAAAGCTAGAGAGCCTCGGTAGCATGCGCTGGGAACTCCTTTGTCGGATCGTTCGCGGCAGCTCGAAAAACAATTGTTTTTTTATCAAGTTCTCCTGCAACTGCAGGGTGAACACTGGCAATCCCAACTGGCTCGAGCTGCATCCTTGGCTTGCATGTAGGCTGCTGCATTGACAGAGTTTTGAGGCGTTCAGATTCAACCGTGCCAGGTTGGTGCAGACGAGCTCAGACCCCACGATGCAAATCATGTTGAGGCGCTTGAACCATGGGCTGTGCTCGTAGCCAGAAGCCATCCCAATGCCTCCCTGCCCGGCTTTTGCACTGTTGTGAGGAGGTTTGGGTCGCTGTCGAAAACTGTTCCAAACTCAGACGGTAGTGCCGGTAGTGCTCGTGCAATCCGCAGCGCCGCAGCTGTCGGACCCCAGGCCTACACCCTGGTTCAGGCAATGCTCGGTGGTTTCAACTGGGGTGAAGTCGCTGATGTCCTCATGGATGTTGACGTGAACCTTGGCTTTCATGGGTGGGATTTGATTCTGCCCGGCTTGGTGTTCTGACAGTACCCGAGACAAGGATCTCGCCTGCTTTGCTGCTTCTTTATGTTGCCTTCACGATGCTCGCCGCGACTGGGCTGGCGATTTGTTAAATGCGTGTAGTGCATATCAAACGAGAGGTCGGGTGCTGCTCTGCCGTCGTCCGAGAAGCGAGAGTTTCGTGCTCTGCAGTACGAGTTCCGTTGTAAGGTCCTCAACGTGATTACAGGCCTGCTGCACAAGGAGCTAGCGAGGCTGGCAGTCCAACCTGGGCGTTTGAGTTCAGGCGCATTCGTCGACAACGCCCTCAACCTGGCAAGCCAGCAGCGTGACTTCCAGATCGAGAGAGAAATAGAATCCAAGGCGTAGCGGGCGGCCAGGTGGGAGTGAGACGGAGACCAGCTGCTTCAATGCCAGGAGCAGTATGCCAGCCAGATTCGAGCGCTGTTTCAGCTGCTTGGCAGGGCATCCAGCATTGTAAAGGCACTTTCTGTTGGGGGCAGATGGAGAGGGAGCAACACAACACCCCTGAAACAGCGATCCGCAAACGAGTGCTACAATTTCAAACTGAGAAAACGCGAGCAAGAAGTCGCCAGGATGTAGCATCGCTTGAGTGTCTTGGGCCAAAGAGACGGGTCTTTTGTGACGAGCATTACTGTAGTAAATGCACCAATTTGGGACATAAGGACGAAGGACAGTGACAGTGGGAGGGGCTGCGGGACGGACGCCTGGTTCCTTCGCCTTCGGGAAGCAGTGAAATCTTAAGAACAGGATCCATCAAGTTCGAGAAGAAGCGGGTGCTCAAGACGTC